AGAAAAGATTGAGAAAGAGATGAAGAAGAGAGAAGAAGAATTGAAAAAGAAGTAAGAAGTTGAAGAAGAAGAGGTAAAAAAAGGAGGAGGAGGAGGATTGGTCGAGTCCAACCAGAAGGAGAGGAGGTGGTGGAGAGCAGTTATGTTGCAGAGTTGAGACTCCAGCGGGTTAAGGACTTGGACTGGGTAGGGAAATTTGGGTACCAGACTAAGCTTTTGGAAGAAACTGATGAAGAGAGAGATCGATGTGTGGCGAAGTTGACATCAACTAAGGATCCCGAGGAAAGGAAATTGTTGATTGAGGAGAAGAAGAGCGAACTCAACCAAAAGTTGTTGGCCATGAAAAAAAAAGAATTTGAGAAGAAAAGGCTGAAGGAGGAAGGGGAGAGACTCTAGGCAAGTAGAAACTAAGGAACGCTCGAACCTTCTAACCGACACTTTGCTACATACCACCCAGGAACTCTCTGCACTTTAACGAGTCATTGGAAAGGTAGAACGACATCAATAGGAGTTTGAGGGCATCGGGAACAACTACCTTAGTGCGTCATCCAGCCAAGTGGATCATAGGGTCCTACAATATGCATGCCAACTAGATGAAATCTTCACTCAGAAACTAACTAACACCATCGCTGCAGTTAAGATAGGTGGCAGTGGCGGGGTGGAGATGGTTGCGATGATGGGGAGGATGACAAAAAAGGGAAAGATCCCAGAAAGGATGGAGAGAAGAAAGGTGAGGAAGGCAAGTCTGAGGGAGAAGAACGAAGGGAGAAGATGAAGGTAAAACTCCCTTGGACATATACTGGGAAGGAGGAGGAAAGCACTTTCCATTGGGAGGCAGCGATGGATATGTACTTGTACGCACAGTTGATTCCGTATTGGGACCGGGTACTGATGGCAAGTTCGTGCTTAGGGGGAGATGCAGCAAGCTTCGCTATTTCGTTAGTGAAATAAGCCGGATGCACATCGATGGTGCAATACTCACAGCGCACAAGGATTGAGGACTTCTTCAAGGCCTTGAAGAACCCTTTTTTAGGATAAACACTTAGCTCGTTGTACCGAGTCCCTCATCCTTAACATTACCGACCGCAAGTGGAAGAGTGTGTCGACACTCAAGACCACTACGGACGAGTTGATGCAATGTCCAAAACATGGACTGACCCTCACTCAGATCTTGAACAACTTTGCTAGAGTGTTGCTAGAGCCCCTCAAGACCCAGTTATATCCTCGTACTAAAGAGGAGGGAATGACCTATGAGAAATTCAACAAGATAGTTGTAGATCGTGCTGGGTTCCTGCACGAGGCAAACCATTGCCACTATTGGAAGGTTCTGCAGGCCGGTAAGAGATGGAAGAATAAGACTATATCTGGTAGCATAAAGGGGAAGGACAATCTGTTGGTCACCTTCGAAGGAGGAGGTGTAAGTCCTTACCCTATGACCAGATAGACTATGGTCTAGATGAGGATAACAACAACCAAGTAGCCTGGGGAGGGGACTATGCGGCGGTTGCAAGCCGGGATAGAGGAGGTCGAGGACAAGGTAGAGGCCGAGGTGGAGGTCGAGGACCCGCTGCCCAGAGGGGTGGTAGCGAAGGTAGCTACTACGTGGGAGGTAGGGGTTATGGTCCCTCGCAAGGTGGTAGAGGTTCTCCCTTCATAGGGTGTAGAGGTAGAGGCAGAAATTGGCGGTCGTACCCAACACGCCCGGGGATAGCTGCAGGCAAACCTTGGGAAGAGATGAGTATAGATGAGAAGGTCTGGGAAGACCGTCGCAAGGCCCACCATTGTTTTAAATGTGGTGACCCCGACCACGTAGTTCCCTTCTGTCCAGAATACAAATACCCAAAAGGGAACCAGTAGAGGCCACAGTTGCCTCTAGATGGATTTCAGACTCGGACAAGAAGACAGAAACGCGCACTGAAGAGGCACCCTCCTCTCTGAAGATCCCAATGACATAGACTGATGTAGGCCCCCACCTAGCTAGTTGTCCAGAGGTTGCTTGTGTTAGGACCTCTCTAGGTGGTTCCCTCGCAAGAATTGGTGATAAGCTGATCACTTGTCGCCGCGCTTGGGCTGAAATGAACAAGAAGTCGAAAGGGCAACTAATAATAGCTGATATCGAGCAGTCAGGATCAGTGCAGGTCTTACTACTCTGATCTTATCAGGTTGTGTAGCTGTCAAATGCTCTATGAGCCTGGAGCTGCGTAATCCCATCAGCCTTTGTTTTTGTTTTGTTTTTTTAAATACAGTTGTCCTCTCCTCATATCGGGGATGGATGTATTTTTTAACTACCCTACTTTCGTCTCTCAATATGCCTCACACTAGCTACCCATGTCTATGCCCTACCCACAATCCCTACCCGACAGATAATGGATCACATCTAGTCAGGAGAAGCAGGAGAAGCAACTACCCTACATTGAAAGGAGGACCCGCCTTAAATCTACTACCTAGGCCTAAGCCATCCCATGCCTACCTACATATGCTCTGTGCGGGGGCCAGCACCCAAGCTCCTAACACCTGGCGCGGGCTGGGAATGGATCAACTTCCACAACGAGCCAGGAGCGACAAGTGGACTTTCTCAGTTGGTGAACCCGAAGTATGCCACACAGCGGGTCGTAGGGAATTGAATGGATGCCATGGGGAATCGATCCCACGACCTCCTCTGTACCACTTACGTGCTCAACTAACTGAGCCAGGGCGTTTGGCGAAACCCCCCATTTTCTTCTCTCAATACGCCTCACATTAGTTACCAACCCATGTCTATCCCCTACCCACAATGCCTTCTACTTATTCTTGAAACCCCTCTTTCTTTGTCCTAATACTTCTCGTGTCTAGTGCGCTATTTGGTACCAGCATTCCTCTTTCTCAGAATCTCAGTCTGAGCTTTTCTCTACTTTCCTATCTTGTCACTATAGCCGCATAGCATATCCTCCCTATTTGTGTACTAATAGCCTCCTTCTCGGCTTTCTTCTTCCCTAGAACTATCTGTGCCTTTTCTCCGCTCTTCACTGCTCCAACTGTGGGACTTCATCGTTCTCCCCCTCTTATTGTCTAGTGGCCAGTGTGTTCCTTGATGGATTTTTGTCTCTTCACGTTTTGGGGGGTCTATAACCTTTTCCAGCTTAGTTAGTTCTCTTTTCCGTTGAGCTCTGATTTCTGTTCCCATCATTTCTCTGGCCTCTTTCCATGACGCCACCGTAAATGTTTTCTGGTTGCCTGATGCTTTTCTACATCTTGATCTCCATATTTTACCCACAGACCCACTCTTCTTATCGAGTTGATATACTCCGTTCTTCATTTATTAGACTCCCATCCCTATCCCTTGCTGAGGGTAAGTAGTCAGATTGTGGAGGGAACTGAGTCACGGACTTATGGAGATATTTGATCAGAACTTATTGACCTCTTCCCCTATTCTACCTGCATGAGGGCATTATATCAAACAAGTTACACGGCGGGGCACTGGCAGCACTGCACTTTTGTTTGTGTGTGTGTGTGTGTGTGTGTGTGTGTGTGTGTGTGTGTGTCTGTGTGTGTGTGTGAGATGAATCTTCTGCAAGCACATGCAAGTATACACTGCGACGTTTTTTCTTTTTTTGGTGTGTGTGTGTGCGTGTGTGTGTAAGACAGACACAGAGAGAGAGAGAGAGAGAGAGAGAGAGAGAGAGAGAGAGAGAGAGAGAGAGAGAGAGAGAGAGAGAGAGAGAGAGAA